TTCTACATTTTACTTTGGAATTTTTATATCTTATACATCACACCAAATGATTCCTTAGCGTTTGGCTTTAAGTTTCCAAATATTCTTGGCGAATAACATTTTTGCCAAGTTTGGAGTGAAATTACACCATGTGTTTGTCCCCAAGTTTTACCAAGAATATTTGTTTATTTGTAAAAAATATGATTTCACCCATAAGTCCTAAAACTATTTACACATAAATTTGTAGTATCTCAGTTAAAAAATAACTTTATAACATAATTGATAACAATCAACAACAACAAAATAACAATATATGCAAGAGCAATACATTAATCGCATATCAAACTTGTCATTGATTCGGTTATAATTATAATCCATTAAAACAAATTGCTCTTTTTTCTTATTTTTATCATTCAAATTAAAACTTTAACTTTTTCGGAGGAGGTAGTAACAAATATTAGTTGGGCTTAATAAATAATGAGTATCCTATAAAGTAAAAATTAGGCAAATGACATAGTATAAGAAAGAAATTACTTCATTTCCCTACTCTTTCATTAATTACCAAAATCCCTTTTTTTAGTGTTTTTCGGATACATAATATAGCAGTGTGGATACTTAATATAGCAGCGCGGATACTTAAATTATTAAGTTGTTAGCAGCACGGATACTTAAATTAACGGGCGGATGCATAATATAGCAGCGCGGATACTTTAATTAATAACGGGCGGATACTTAAACTAATAAAGTATCCTGTTAAGTTGAATTGGGGAAAATATGGGATTTTTGTATTTTAGTAAAAGAGTAGGGAAATATTGAGAATAGGTAAAGAAGTGTTGTGTATTTAAGTAATTTTTCCTATAAAATATAAAAGTTTGGGGTAATTTTCAATTTTTTTTAAATTTCCAAATATTATAACTTGGGCCAAATACTAGATTTTCTAGTATTTGGGAACTTGAGATATTTGACAAATTTGTCAAGTTATATGACCAAACATCATTTCCCAAGTATTCTTGGGGCCAAACGAGTCCTAATGTCTTGCTTTTGCTTTCTACCCCAATTACTTTTACGGTGTTTTGTCATTATTTTGATATTAGTTGCTATATTTTCTGCTCAATCACTTTTCTATACTCAAGTCGAAGGATCTTTTGAAAATATTCTTTCTACCTTTAGGGTCTTTTAGAAACACCCGATCTACCTCGGCAAGATATGCAAACACTCCACCCGTATATTGTTGTTATCGTACTTCACGTATCTCATAGGTCATATTTATGTAATATAAAAAACTATTATACACTTTATAAATGGTATACATTATTGATTATACACTCTATACATTTGATACATTATATATAATAATTTTTCTTTAGATAAAATATTATATAATTGAGCACCTTTCACATATAGCAAACACAAAATTCATATTTGTATGTTATAGCAAAGTTTGCATAATTGTGCTCCATAGCAAACATATATATGTATAATTCGCTATACATATACAAAAAAAAACAGTTGTATAGTTCGCTATACATATACAAAGAAAGCAGTTATATAATTCGTTATGCATATACAAAAGAAAGCAGTTGTATACAAAAGATCAATTGTATAATATGTGTATGTATAAAACGAGAAAGAGAGAAAGACAAAAGAAAACTGGGCAGGAAAACATTTTTATTGTATAATTATAAGTGTATAGGACGAAGATATATGTATTTGCATGTGTATATACAAATTTTCTCTCGCTTTATACAAACAGAAGCACAATTTATACATTTCGTTTCTGTTTGTATAAGCGAGAGAGGCGAAGGGTGGCGAGCGAGATTTGGGAGAGTGGCGAGCGAGATATGGGAGGGGCGGGAGAGGGGAACGAAAATATATGTATATATACAATTTCCTCTCGCTTTGTACAAACACAAATGCATTTTATACATTTGTGTTTGTATAAAAGCGAGAGAGGCGAGCGAGACTGCCACCAAACGAGAGTGGCGAGCGAGATTCCACCAGGGAAAGTGGCGAAAATAACAATAGTTTGCTATAGGGTACAATTAAATCAAAGTATATTTATACCATTTAATTTGAATTAATAGTTTGATATTATATATAATTTTCCCTATATAATATTATACATTTAGTTGCGTGGTATAAATACTTTTGAAAAATTATTTATATATAGTAGTAATATTTATTTCAGACTCCAATTTTTGTAAAAAAATATTCATTATTATTCAGCAACTTTTTGCTTAATAAAGAGGCGTTTTCCATTCTTGAATTTTGTGCAAAATAACTTAGTACTCTCTCCATCCATTTTTATTTGTCATGTAGCAATTTTCGAAAGTAAATTTCACTATTTTTCAAAGTTAAATTAGATTACATTAATTCGATATTTTAAACAAAAAAATTTAGATATTTAAAAACTATACGAAAAGTACTATAAATTGCATTTTTTTGCATATCAATATGATGAAAAAATACATTGTAAAATATTTGTCAATTTTTTTATAATTTGACCCTAAAAAAGGAAACTATGACAATAGAAAATGGACGAAGGTAGAATCAGATAAGATAATTCCACTTTCCTACGATGTATAACGAGGAAAATAAGAACACACCATTTTTCATTTTTATTTTTGTAAATAGTTATGCTATTGATAACAAACAATAATACGTATTTAAAAGTGAACAACTCAATTCACATAGTCACTTTATAATGAGAATTTTGTTGGGATTAGACCTCTAAGCACTTAATGACACATAAAAGATTGAACAAAACTCCTACTATATCTATACATTAATTAATGATATTTATCGTAAGTTGAGCTTGAAATTTGATGGGTTTTGCAAAATTGTTAATGACTTAAGTCATCTGCGGCCCCTTAAAATTGTCCGCATAATTCATTTAGACACCTCAACTGAGACTTACCTATTAGACACTTTAATATTAACGAATATTTATCTATTGAACATAAAATGACAATTAGCATTAAAAATATTGTGCGTGTAATTCACACACATTATCTTGACAAAATCACGAATAGAATTATGACACGTGGCACATGGGTCCATAATTTTAATTTTGAAAAATAAAAAATAATTTTCAGCCTTTAATAATATAGAAAATTAAATTGACAAAAAAAATATTCTCCCCCACTCCTACCTAACCCCCCACCCCATCTAACCTATTGCCCTTTCTCCTTCGTCTTCTTCTCTGTCACTCCGCCATTGCCCTTCACCATCGATTTCTCCGGCGATAACAAAAAAATAATAATCTCCCCCACCCCTTCCTGAATACACCCACCAAATCCTTTCCTCTTTCTTTTTCTTCCCGTGTTACTCAAAATAAGAATAATCCACATCGATAAATTATTTCGAAATTGAAAACGAAAAGAAATCAGAATTATAGCAAAAAAATTTATAACATTTTAAATAAGTTTAATGAATGGTGATGGTTGCTCGATCGGAGTTATTGAAAATAAAATGCACAAATATTGGTCGACTTTTTAACTCCAATGGTCGGTTTTTTTTCTTCTTCTTGCAAATTCAACAGGCAGTTTGTTTGCAAATTTAGCAGGCAGTTTGTTTACCAAAAATGAAGAGAAAAAAATGCCAAAACAAAAGACAGAGAAATTTGAAGTCTTGAAAATGATGGGTTAAAGAAGAAGAGGACTTGTACATGGGTGTGAGGGTAGTTTTTTTTTCTTTTATGAATTAAAAGATTAATGTTTAATTAAATTATTTTTTCATTTATTTAGTCAATGCATGCCAAGTGTCAAGAAAGTAGGTACAAATTTACTTTTAAAAAAATGTATTCACGGGCTCATCAGCAGTGAGATACACTTATTTTGCCACTTCAGCGTTTTGTGTTTAATAGGTACATGTCTTGAACAATTTAGGTATTCAATAGGTACAAGTCTTAATTCAGGTGTCCAAGTGAATTATGCGGACAACTTTAAGGGATCGTGGATGACTTAAGCCATTGTTAATTGTATGGAGCATACATATGTTGTTATAATAGTCCCTTTAGGAGAGTTTATATCTTAATTTTGATAATGTTTAGTGAAGATTTAAGATAATTTTAAAGAAAATTGAAATTTATACTCAGGTGTATATTCAAATTTAAAAATAACCTATAATTTATACTCTCTCCGTCCCATTTTATGTAAGGTAATTTGATTCGGCACGGAATTTAAGAAAGAAATGAAGACTTTTAAAACTTGTGGTCCAAAATGAATGATAGAAATTTGTGTGACGGTAAATCATTTCATTAAAGATAAAATAGACATGTTAAATTGTTATTTAATATAAAAATGTGTCATTCTTTTTGGAATCACTAAAAAGAAAAGTAAGACATAAATTGGGATAGTGGGAGTACTAAATTGATGCATTATATTATCTATATCTACTAAAAGAACTTAAAGAACTTGAAAGAATCAATTGAGAGATTATTATTTATTTCAATGCAGTGTTATTGTAATAGATTGACTCCTTTCGAAAGAGTTTATATTTCATTTCAATTAATTCGAGGAAGTTTGGCGAAGAAATAAAATAATATAGGATGAATTTTTATATTTGCGTTTAAGGTTGAGTAACTTATAAATCTCATATTTATGTTTAAGCTTGGATTTATAACAGGCTTATATAGCTATCTCAAACAATATGAATATACTAAATGTTAATTTATATAAATTCTAATTCAGTTTATACTAAACGATTTGAATGTGCTTATATTATCTTCCCTTTAGATAAAACAAAACCTTATAAATTGTTCAAGATCACATTTTTTTCGATTATCAAAAATGCATCATGATCTATAATATATTTTAACCCAAAATGGAAAAAAAATAACTTGTCATTACCAATAACAAGAAAAAGTATATATTAGATTTATGTAATTTGGATTAAAAAAAAGATTTATGTAATTTGTGAATTTCCATCCAAATCCCACAATCTAAACTGATTTTTCACAGTATGTATAAAGCACGATTTTCCGCCCCACTCACTATCTCTTTACTAACAGAATTCGCTAACGCACTTTCTCTCTCTATAATTTTCAGTTTGCTGCAGCTGCATTCCTTTGTTATACAAAAACGTAACTGAATTTTCCGGCGTCGTTTTTTGCCCGGACAATGGCGTCGCTATACGTCGGCGACCTTCACGACTCTGTGACCGACGGGCAACTCTACGAAGCATTCTCAGAGTTCAAAAACCTCGTTGACGTTCGCGTCTGTCGCGACTCTTCTACCGGCCGTTCCCTCTGTTACGGCTACGTTAACTTCATTTCTTCTGAAGACGGTATATACTGTATCTTTCAGTATCGCTTGCACTGTTAATTTTTCTGTTCGGTTTTCGTCGTTCGAATTTTGTGCGAAATTCAGTTTGACATTTGTTTGCATGGCGGATTCCGATGAGAATTTCGTGTTTTGGATTTTTTATATGACTGATCAATGCGGAATTTGAGACTGAGATATGTATTTACGGAGTAGAACTATATTTTATTCCTAAGAATGCAGCTGAAGTTTTACCAAGACGGTGTATACTGTATTGTTTTGTATCGCTTGTACTGTTAATTTTCCGTTCGGTTTTCTTCGTTCGAAGTTCGTGCGTAATTCAGTTTGACATTTGTTTTCATGGCGAATTCATATAAAAACTTTGTGTTTTGATTTCTTATATAACTGATCAATGCGGAAATTCAAGACTGAGATATGTATTTACGGAGTTGTACTAAATTTTATTCCTAAGAAATTGTGTGAAATGCAGTTTTTCTTGTTTACTTATATTTTCGTGTTTCTGTATCTGCCTATGTGTATCCTATATGTGTGTATGAATTTGTTCCTTGGGGGTAATTGTGGAATTGACTCGAGAACCTATTGGATTAGGTATATATGTTATCCACTCGGTTGTGAATATACATTTATAAAACGAAAAGGACAGGGTTAGATTTCTTTCTTACGGAAAAATAAGGAGAAGTTGGCGCTTTTTTGTTCAAGTATATGAAATATGAAGGACAACGACGGGATTGGATTTCCACTCGTATGTAAGGAATGCTAGATTTCATTGATGGAGTTGTATTTAGTGGTAATAGGATGGTGCTCAGACTCCAGAAATGAAGTTTTGATAGTGAGCCCTCCCCTGTCTGGCTGGATTAATTTCATTCTGAATCATTGAGAATAATCAATAAAACACAGTTTGTCCGAGAGTGAGAGGAAGAAGCTATAGTGCTGGTTGGCGAGTTCTTTGTTTGTTACTAGTATTTATTTATTTTGTTGTGGTTACTCCTGCATGCTATTTCTTCAAGCTATGCGTCTACTTATATAATTGTTATATCTTGCAATCGAGGGAAGATATAACTGAAAATCTTGAGGATTTTATGATGTTGATTAGTAATGGAATGATCTTCTCTGCTGTGAGTCATTTCAGTGGACTTTTGCTGAAGTTATTTTTACTATGGATTAGTTGATGATGTGGTTAAGGGAATAATTAATTGTAATTTGAGATTTTGTTGCTATAATTGGTCAAATTGTTTGTTTTGTGGTGTGAGTCATCTATGTAGTTCTTTCAATGAAGTCCATCAGTGAGTAGTGTGGTCTTTTGATGGACTGTTACTTCAGCCTTGATGTTTTATGGAACACTGGCGAATTCATTAAATGAAGGTTATCTGAATGATTTGCCTTGGTCTTATTTATTTTAATTTGATTGATTTGTTGTCTAGTTTCTGTTTTGTGGAATGTTGAGGACCAGTGAGTTGCTCATTTTGTCACTTAATGTTGTTTCCGTTCACGAAACATTGTCCGTATGATCTGATCTGTGATTTGTATCATAAGTATGAGCTAACCTTTTAAAATTGTACAAGTTGTATCATCTTTTTTCTTAATTGCCTGAGAAAGCTGCGGTTTTTCCTGCTCTGTGAGCGAAACAGATCAGCTCATGACTTTTTTTGCGGTTAGCATTTATTAAGCTTCATGCTCCTTGACCAGTGACTCAAGGGACAATGATTGCAAATGCAGAACTTTTGTCTAATTCTTTGGTTGCTTATGGTTTGTTATTGTGTACGTCTGACTTTCTTTTCCTCGAAATTCTGTGTGAGTTTATTTTTCACTTGGAAAGCTTCTACTGTCTTTTAAACTGTGAACAGCTGTGCGTGCTATTGAGGTGAAAAATCATTCCACCCTCAATGGAAAAGCTATAAGGGTTAGTTGGTCCCGTCGTGATTCTGTTGTGAGAAGAAGTGGAACTGGAAATGTATTCATCAAGGTACTTTTTAAGGACTAGATAGCTGTCATTCATCTTGAGATCTTAATAGGTTTTCTTTTTTCCTTATTGCTTTGATCCCTATGTGAAACTGATTTGGGATTTTGCTGCAGAATCTAAATGATGTAATTGACAGCACGAAGCTTGAAGAAATATTCCAGAAGTTCGGAAATATCTTATCCTGTAAAGTTGCTGTTTCTGAGGATGGAAGGAGTAAAGGATTTGGCTTTGTCCAGTTTGAGACTGAGGACAGTGCAAACACTGCTATTGAGGAGCTCAATGGATCTGCTGTTGGAGGAAAGGAGATGTACGTGAAATTCTCTCAGTTATAATTTATAGTGATCCTGATGAACTTTGATAGAGTATATAGAAAAAACTGTTTCTCTTGCACACTTTTAATCTTATTTTGTCCCCAAAATTTTTACATCCATTTATGGATAGGTATGTAGGAAAGTTCGTCAAAAAGAGTGACCGGATTCTGCCCAGCCCTGATGAAAAATATACAAATTTGTTCATCAAGAACCTGGGTCTTGACATCTCAGAAGAGCATCTTAGAGAGAAGTTCTCTGAATTTGGGAAAATTATCAGCTTGGTCATTTCGAAAGATGAGAATGGATGTTCAAAAGGTTTTGGTTACGTGAACTTTGAGAATCCAGATGATGCTAGGAGAGCAAGGGAAGCTATGAATGGATCAAAACTTGGTAGGTTTTGACTTTATCTTGCTGTCGTATTCTCAGATGTAACTAACAGCTACAGTGTTCAAGAGTCTTTATATGACCTGTATGCATTGGGCAGGCTGCAAGATCTTGTATGTAGCAAGAGCACAAAAGAAAACAGAACGCGAACAGATATTGAGGCGTTTGTTTGAGGAGAGAAGGAAGGCGCGACTTATTAAGTACCAGGTATCTTTGTTTCTCATTTCCTCAGTTAAAAGATATATGTTACTGTAGAAAAGATGTGTTACTGTATTGTATTGTCCATTTTTTTTATCATGATTAATGTCATCATAGGGTTCAAATGTGTACGTCAAAAATATCGATGGTGATGTCAAGGATCACGAGTTGCGTGAATTGTTCAGTCAATGTGGCAAAATCACTTCTGCAAAACTTATGCTAGATGAAAAAGGAGTCAGCAGGGGCTTTGGATTTGTATGTTTTTCCAGACCAGAGGAGGCCAATAAAGCGGTGAATACTTTTCATGGTAAGTTATATATCTTTTTACTCGGTCTAGATCATGGTGAATGCCAAGGCACTGAATGTTTTTTCACATGAGCTAGCACTTGCAGTAAATTTTGGTGCTATCTAACATTTTCTTTCCTATAACGTTTTTGAGCACAGATATCCCAGCTTAAGTAAATAAGTAGTACTACTTTACACTGGTTTCTTTCTAAAGGAGGTGTCAGAAATAATGAAGTGTTACAGCATGGATAGAGTTCCTGAATGACTCTATCAATATGGATATACTCATGAAATTCAGGGTTAAGGGGTTATAGAACTCCAGAACTTTAATGCAGAAATGCATGTCTCTGTCAAATGCCTTAACTTTAGATTCCGTAATGCCTATATGGGTATCATGTCAGGCAAGCAACTTTTTGTTTGGTTGTTCTAGTTGAGTTTAGGCTAATTGTCCCACATATGGTTCAGTTATAGTGCTTGCTGCGCTTGCCAATAGACAAGACCTCTCAATCATGTTAAATTCCAAACCTAGTTTTTCTTCTTTTATGGCTCCTTTTCCCATCTTTTCTCTGCGTGCACACTGGATTTTTGGTCTCTGCTTCCTTTTAATACCTCTGCACTAAAGGGTTTAACCTCTGACTAAGCTCGTGGATGGTACATATATTCTTCGTCATGGCATTTTCTAAGCTCTTATTTTTAATTACTATTCTGAATCTGTGATCAATGTGTTTCCTAGTGTTGTAGAATTTAGTTGTAAGTGAACTTTTGTGTGGAATAGTAAAACGAGGAATGAACACAGAAATCTCAGAAAAAACGAAAGCTGTTCCAAGACATTGCAAACAATAAACTTAATTTCTTAAAAATAAATCACTGTCAGGCTTCCCTAGATTAGTTAGTCAAGTACGTAGTGATACCCCGGAACATGTTTTTATGCCATGTCATGCTTGCATCAACAACAATCGTCTCTCATGAACAAAATTCCTTACTGTTATTTTATGTGTCTTAATTGAACACAGAAAATAAAGGTATTCATTGAAAGAAAATTAACAGATGCCTTTCCATTGCGTTTCCCATCAATTTTCTCTCATATTATTCATATGTTCTTCAGTTTGATAGCTTATATTCTTCCAAAGTTATAATTAAGTTGGTGTCTTTTTTTTTTCAGTCCATCTACTTTCTCTTGTTGAATCTGTACAAGATGAGATGATATCGTTGTAGAATTCTGGCCTCAAAATTCTTTGTACTGAAAGTTAGAAGGTTTCTCTTAAGGTCCCTATTAAGTGTATTGAAGTTGTTAGACATTCCACAGGATTTATGTTTGGCCAAAAGCCATTGTATGTGGCTATTGCTCAAAGGAAAGAGGAAAGGCAAACTCAATTACTGCTTAAGCATGCACAAGGAATTGCAGGTCTCACCAGATCTTCCGCTTTTTTCCCTGGTGGATATCCCCCTCTGTACTATCCTGCCCTTGGTGATCTACAAGTATCTGAACAACCAGGGCTGCTGTATCAGCCTCTGAGTATGAGGCATGGTTGGATGGTCAATGGATTTGCAAACTCTATTAGACCTTCTTATCAAACTTCCTTGGTTAGTCCAGCTGTAAATTTTCATAATACTTCGGCAATTTTACTACTTCATTGAGTTGGATAACAGAATCTTGAACTTTTCAGCAGTAGTCCGGAGGCACTAAATTGCATGGGCATGTTTCAGGTTTAAACCTATGATGAAATTTCTTACCACTTTCCTCTCATTTTTCAGATTCCTAGTGCTTCACAATATAGGCAGAATAGGGGAAAGAAGAACGGACATATGCCAGTTCCAGATGTCCCTTACTGGCAGCAATCAGTCCAATCAGTGGCATCATCAAAACAATCTAGCTATACTCAAAAGGTTAAACTTCTTGCTATCCTTTTTCCATAAATTGGAATCTTGATTGACTGAGTTTTGTATTTGTTGATCTGCACAGCGTAGTAGTTCAATATTCCAATTTAGAATGCTTAAGTTGAATGTTTTTCTGAGACTCCTCCCTTGAAAATGTGTGACTTGCCTTTTTACCTCAATGGAAAAAGATAATGTCTTCAAATGCCTATTCAGAATAGTGATTAATCATTTTGCTAGGGTGAGGATAAATATTGTTTTATTTGATTTTCAATTTCGTGTACTGATTTATGTTCCCTTTTTTGGTGTTCTTCATATATTCTTTTAATCTGAATCTTCTGATCATTATTCATGTATTTGAAAAACTAGGCGTTCACTTAACTAGTGTTAAGTATGTGATTTTTAGCCGGAAACTGTTTGATTGATTTGAATTATTGTTGCAACTGTAAGTCTGTAACTACAAAAATTAAAGTATCATAAATCATTCCGCCCATATTTACTCTATCTTTTAACTCAAACATTTTTTTTTGGTTTTCTTAGCTTATATGATGCAAAATTGTTAATCTCACGTGCAGATTACTTAGCATATGTATTTTAAAAGTTGAGATCTTTTTCCATAATTTGGTTATCATCTTGTTACTAAACTTCTGCCTGCACTGATTCTTCTTACAATCCTGTCATGGAAAAGAAATTGTAGTCTATTTCAAATTGTTGTAACCCATAACAAAGTGCTTCTTTTTTCATTCACTAATATGTGTACATTGATGAGCTTCATTGCTTCAAGTTTCCTACTTTTGGTGCATGCCTTCACCTGGGTGAGAAGTATCCTGGGAAAATTAAAATTTTTTTTGCATGATGGATCACAGTTAAGCACCCCTGTTTTAGTAACCACACAATTTATGTATGCTTTGCAGGTCAAATATGCACCAAATGGTTGTGGTATGAAGAAAGGATGTGTTTTCTCTCCTGGCACCAGTACAAAAGGATCATTGTCTGAGGTTTCAGACAACCTGAGTACCATGCTTACTGCTGCACCTCCTAAGCAGCAGAAACAGATACTTGGAGACCACCTTTATCCTCTTATTAGTCAACACAAGGTGAGCTTTTTCTCTATCCTTTATAATCCTCCTTTTCTCTTCTATAATAGCTACCCTATGCACTAATGCAAAATAATTTGTCTGCTGCAATTGTTTTGGTTCTTCATGGAGAACCCAAGGGGTAGATAAACACTTGAAAGAAGATTTGATCCATCTCTGACAATTTTACTGATGTTGGTGTGGGTGATCTGTCAAGAAGCTTTTTGAAGCCATTTAGTTTTGAGCTTCATTATTCGTTGGTTATATAGAGCTGGTCTAGCTTCTGTATCGGTCTTGCTATTACCCTGAGAATTAACAAAACTAATATGCTTTTTGTAGCCCCATCTTGCTGCAAAGGTTACAGGAATGCTCTTGGAAATGGACAACTCAGAGCTTTTATCATTGTTCAAGTCACCAGAATCTCTGGCAGCAATGGTGCAAAAAGCAGTTGAGATGCTCAACCTCCCCAAGACTGAAGTTTCCCCTCGAGATTCATGTCTTCCAAATCTTCTCTCTGCTAAGTTGCAGTCAACTTAGCAACGAATTATGCACAATGTTAGAGGTTTCCATCAAGTTTGTGTCACTAGGAAATAAATCTAGCCAAGTGTTAGTTTGTATGGTGGCTACTTGTATCATGATTTTGTGGCTGTTAATACTTCTCTGATATGACATGATAGAAACTAAAACGTTGTAGTTAACGATACTGCTATAGCATTTGGATTGGCAATGTTATGTTTGACAATGTGTTTTGAAGTTCTCATTTCTTTACATGTTATAGTTGTATTCCATTTCATATTGACTTTGTCAGATGTTATTTGAGAAAGAAGATTGATTCGAAGAATAAGGTTGAAGTCTACCAGTGTGTTAGGAAAGATGAAAAAACAAAGTTCCCCTCTTTCTGCAGAACTTAGACTCAATTCAATAAAGTTCGCTGCACATCGAGTTTTGTTTATTGAGTAATTTATGCACTACAAATGTTTTTGTGTGTTTGTATCGTCTTTGTTCTTTTGGTAGAGAGAATAACAATTATAGCAAGCAAAAGAAACAAGAGCATAAGCCAAACTATTTCGGTTTTGTTCTTATAGATCATGTTTCAGGGAAGACTTATAATATACAGGACAAGTAAATTGTGTTCTTTGTTCACCCAAGAGCAATAAGCTCTCAGAATACACTCACTTTTTGAAGTCTAGATTACAATTCAACTTCTAGTTTAGATGTCAGTAAAATCAACAAACCCTTTTTTATATCAGACTCAATGATTCCCTCCATTTCTCCAATGCCTTCTCAAGCTGCAGATTATCAGAATCAGTTGCCCTGACACTGCTAGTTTTGGGTAAAAGCAATGCACGATTATCAGAATCAGCTTGTAACTTGTAGTCATTGGAATCAACTCGTGAGTTCTTCCATTAAGCCCTGTAATTAGAGGCCACGGCTAGAAGTTTGAGAAAAAGGTAGATGCATTTATTTCTAACGCAATTTTCTGTTGTATAGGAAAATCACCTGAGAAATATACTGCTCTGCATCAGTGCGCCTAATGAAAAGAATTGCATGACGAGCAAGGTTGGCTAATTGGTCGCTGAGGACCACATTACCAATATCATCAAGGACCCTCACCTTGATATAGGGATCTTTTGGAGGCACCATATCCTGTGAAAAGCAAAACATAAGGAAGCTAAGGTACTTGGCCGAGTCTCTTATCATTTGCACTGTGCGGGTCTCCCAGAGATTTAAAGTTTATAAGGAAAGCAATCCCTTGCAGATTGATCAGATATTCTAGAAAACACATGGAGTGATGTCATATTTTTGCTTGTCAATGTAGTGTTTTATTTGAGCACGTTGAACTTCTGATAATCGAGGATCTGTTTAATTTACTTAATGCACTCACAAGCCTTCACATTGCTGCCCTAGCTTCATGTTCTTTTCAGAGATAGTTCTAGTCCAATGATTGATATAGTTATCCGAAGCCTAAAGTCAAATGCAATGAGCAAATTTGATACTTCCTACTCACAACAGAAAGAAACGGAAAAGGAAAAATTTGCCACCCTCCTAGCAAGTCACCATCCACACTCCAATCCAAGCTTCTTTCTCTTGCTCCGATGGCACACCAACACTGATGAGAGTGCAACGATGGGGAAGATGTGCAGATATGCTATGGAGGGTGACATTCCTTTTGCACCCCACCTAGAGATAAAAATTACTTGTCGGGGAGCATTGTTAGGCTAGGACCCCTCAATGTTACAGAACTTCAAGAAACAACTTTAGCTTCAGATATATCAATTTTCCGACTTGCTGACACTTCATAAGAACCAGAGATCAATGAGCTAAGCAAAACAGTCACTATAGTTCCGTATCAACACAACGAAAGAAAAAAAGAACAAGACACTATTTAGAAGGAAGTGAATCATATGACGTTTAATGGACAGTTGCCCTTTTTTCTGCTGTTTGGATTCAAACAAATTTTGGTAATTACACATACTGCTCCTAAATAGTCACAGATTACAACAATTAACCTTTTGAAGGAGGGAAATGCAAAATTTCTTCTAGGAGATCATACTATAATGCCAAGAGTACAGAAAACATGTCCTGGTTTGGTTATCAAAAAATGAAAACATGCCCTGGTTAGGACTTAGCAAGAGTCTACTTTCTGCAATTTCAGGCATAGTAGTATTTGTTAGGTGTAAAAGTCTATTCACTATAGTCTTTGAGCAATATATCAGGACACAAATAAGAAGTTATGAGAAAAGAACACTTACCACCCCCAAATCAAGATCAAGTGCTGACATGTATGATTGGATAGTTGCAGCATGATTCTTAAAATATTCTTTCTCTGAGGTACTAAGCTTCTCTTCAATTTCTTCTGGGAGGACACGCTCAAGGGTCCATCCCAATCTTCGAACAACTTCTGCTCGATTATATCTAAAGAAGGAGCAAGAAAGAAAGTCAACAACGAACATAAGAGATGCAGGAAGATCAGGAATATATGACCGTTTCCCAAGGACAACTCTGAAGCTAACTGTTACTCACACATAAGCCATCAGACAGCGCTTGTTGCGAGTGAGAGACTGATGATGGATAAGCAGCCCATGGTAATTATCATCTTTGGGGAGCTCTGCATTGGAACTTCTATCAGTCTCAGGTGGCTCGTTGTCATCAGGTGATTCGTTATTTGAAACTGCGTCGTTCTGAGTTGGTCGGTTTGCACTTGAACTTTCAGCAGGAGTTTTTGCATTCATTTTCCTGTGTCAAACTCGAGATGGATAAGGTCTGAAACAAAGTTGTACTCCATTTGGCACATAGAGAAGAATACACATGCGTAAGGAAAGAATGACTTTTGTTGGGAAACACATTGTCAACAGGCTGGATTTGACTCAATTTCAGAAATGAACCGAGACTAATCCAAGTTGATGTGTGATATTTGATGAAATTATATGCCTTAGGAATCTGGTGTATGGACATCAAATTTAACAGTTTGCCATTAGGACACTCATGCAGTATGATGTAGCCAATTAAATAGAAGGTATGGAAAGTGGGAGGACAAGCACCTAATGCTCAATACTGAATTGGCCCAGAAACAGCAAAGTTGAAAGCTTCAGAAAATACAAACATAGCATTTGGCGCTATAAGACACAAAAACATTCTGAGAGCTTAGTGCCTAGGCGCTAGCATGGCACAAACCTGGAGGCTACAGTGCCTAGGTGCCATCAGACAAATAGAACTATAGGAGCACAGTGCCAAGTTGATATCAGACAAATACTGGTTCTTAGACGTGTTCTTACATGAAAACTATAAATATACCCTACCAGGGCTGAACATGGCACAGCAGGAGGGAAAAAAGAGGGTTGGATCTATTTCAACTTGAATTCATCTTCTACTTCCTTTCCTTTTGGCTTTATCTTTTCATGTTTAAGATTCTCGTTAGGATGTTCTTTGCTTTTAGCAAGAATTTATTCCTCTTTCCTTAACTGTAATGGATCTTCATGTACAGTTTGGATTCTTAATTGCTTCTTGCTTATTATTGATGGTTATTCAAAATCTTAATCTTATGCTTCTCATTGCTTGACCATCATCTAGATTGGTAAGATGGATCAATTAAATTCTTGGTTGCCATTAAAATTTCTCCAAGGAGCCATTCACCTTCATTTGATCTTCAAGGTAGAGGTTAAGTTTCTTGGGACTGACCGATAAAGAAACAATACGGATTTTAACTGGGATACAGAGACTACTTTCTTCCTACTATTTTTTATTTTTTTTGAAACAGATAACTTAGTATATTACTACAAGTTCTTTTTCTTTTTAATTCTTTATACCTAATCCATTTGTTTTCTCCTTCCACCTTAGTTGGTTTTCTTAGTTCTAGTTCTTTGGATAGTTTGGACTTAAAACATCAACAAGGCAGAGAACCTTTTCTTTAATTTTTTCTAAAAATGTTGAAATGATAACGGAGATTAACACTCCATTGAATTTCTGACATGGTTTTGGGGGAGGGAAATAGGGTTGAGTTAATATTTAAAGTGGACAACACAGACAGACAAAAATAAGAGCTTAACAAGAGTTAACTGAAAGAATGTAATGGCTGCGTCAAAGCAAGACATAACTTCCAATGGGACCGCTTTTACATTAAAGCAAAAACTTCAGAAAATTCAGCATGCTGACACACAAGTATTATGGAGAAGAAAAACATATGATAGAGCACTGATGAAGTATCTATGTTCAAGGCCTAGATCAGAAGCAAACTGGACAAGAAAACAGGTAAAATAGGACAGTTTCAGGATATCAGTTAAGAAAATACACGAGGCACACTTGTTCTGTAAAATATTTGCAACAATAAGAATCACTAAAAAGCTCACCTAACTACTGTTACAAATAGCATGTTATGGGTTATACAGCAATAAGGTTGCAGAAAGAGATGAATAACAAACAAAGAAAGCTTGGGAACCCACAAGGAACGTGTTAAATATACCTCACCAAGGAATTGAGGTGCAGGAAATGGCTGTTACATTCTTCAAGTACTTGTGTAACTAGGTCAGTCTGCATTGAACAAGAAACTATTCTTTAAGTATAAAACTCTAAGTAAATAGCGGACCAAATATGTAATGAATCAAAATGTTTATATCAAGTAGCAGCAAAGAAATTGACCCTGCAGAACATCAACTTTGTAAGAAGCACTCATGATCACTCATTTTCTAATAGAACTCCTTAAAAAGAAGAAGTAGAACTACATGTATACTTCTGTTAATAACAAGATCAATATCTTGGATGTATGAAAAACCCACTACAGCATTATGACATGCATGATAATGACAAACATCTACCTGGCTACCTTATTCCTCTAGTGTGAACCCATATATTATAAATGCAAGATGATTGCATGTTTATATTAGCATTATAACAATAGGGGAAAGAAGATAATGTCAAATCTCAGTGACTCAACACCTATCGTCTATACAATTTTCACAGCCTACATGGAAATAACGCAAATGATTAAAACTATCTGCAATTTAATTTCTAGTAAGCTGATCAAATATAGAATAAATTGCATACATTAAAAGCTGCAAGCTGCCCGGGTTCGCTCTCTGCAAATTCTTGTACTAATTCTCTCCCCTTCTTCCCATACATTTCTTCCAATTCAAATGGGCCAAGCACTGATCAATTTTTTCCTGCAGTCACTGAATCATTCCTCAAACATATAAATCTGAAATCCCTTAAAATTGGAAAATGAAATAGTACTTATACA